GGCAGCTATTGAATACATCACATTACCTACAATGACATCAGCTACCGCCCCCAAGGGAGGTCATCTGCCATTTGCCAGCCTCCAGCTGACAACTCTGTCTTCAAGACCAAAAAAAAAGGGGGGAGGACCATTCAGGAAAGGTAACCAAAAAGCTTGAGACAAAAACGATAATAAAATATGGCTAAACACAGCAACCTTCTGCCCAGAGGGGGAAAAACCACTTAAAACGCACCGTGGGGGCTTTTGCTTGGTGAAACCTCCCAGATGAGAATGCATTTCTTCACAAAGCCAAGACCACACCAAGGAATCCTTATTGACACCTAGCATCCGCACTAACTACACAGACAGGATGATTATCCCCTTAATTTATGATGGCACATGCTAGAGTGAGGAATATAATGGAGAAACATTGGTACCTTTTGTCTGACATCCCCAGATGTAGATCAAAACCTCCGAAGGGCTAAAAACATTAAAGATATGTTGGTCTGGAGCACACTTAGGGAGCACAGTTCAGACGATACCCTGACAGGAGTGAAGCACAATACAAAAGGTTACTTTCCATGTGACAATTGTTCTGTTTGTGATCTTTGCCTTAAAATCAATGTATGCCATAACTCTTCAATGACCAAAAGTTACTATATAAGATCTTTTTGTTAACTGTAACTCTAGAGAGGTAATTTATTGTATACAGTGCCTGTGTAACTTGCTGTGTGTAGGGATGACAACAAGGCCAGTTAATCAGAATATCTGAACACAGAAGCTGCATTAGACAGCAAAGGTCGCTGGCTTTACTTGTGAAGCGCTTCACGTGCTTGAGACATTCTAATAAGGACTTTAAATTCTGAGTAATAGAAGAAGAGAAGAAGAGATTGGATTTATACCCCGCCCTTCACTACCCAAAAGTGTCTCAGAGCGGCTTACAAACTCCTTTCCCCTCCCCTCCCCACAACAGACACCCTGTGAGGTAGGGGGGGCTGAGAGAGCTCTTGACAGAAACTGCTCTTTTTCAAGAACAGCTGTGCCAGAGTTATGGCTTGCCCAAGGTAATCCAGCCAGGTGCAAGTGGAGGAGTGGGGAATCAAACCCGGTTCTCCCAGATTAGAGTCCGCGCACTTAACCACTACACCAAACTGGCTCTCTATAGAAAAGCTGCAAGCGCACTCGTCACAGCAAGTTCGACTCTTGAAGAAAGGGGAATCCTTCTGGATCTTTACATTAGACATTCTGGTGCCAAGAGGTCTGAATGAAGAAAACAATTGGCTGTGTATGTGATGTATTTGGCTGCTTTTTGAAATGAGGAGTGCAATTAAGCTGATGTAATTTTCTTCCAGGTGTTGCTGATTACCTCTGAGTCACCAGTTTTTTTCTCCTCTGTTGCATTATATTTTCCCCACCACCAGGTTACCTACCGTGTTTCCCCGAAAATAAGACACTGCCTCTATAGAAAAGCTGCAAGCGCACTCGTCACAGCAAGTTCGACTCTTGAAGAAAGGGGAATCCTTCTGGATCTTTACATTAGACATTCTGGTGCCAAGAGGTCTGAATGAAGAAAACAATTGGCTGTGTATGTGATGTATTTGGCTGCTTTTTGAAATGAGGAGTGCAATTAAGCTGATGTAATTTTCTTCCAGGTGTTGCTGATTACCTCTGAGTCATCAGTTTTTTTCTCCTCTGCTGCATTATATTTTCCCCACCCCCAAGTTACCTATATAATCAGGAGCGTAGACTACCATAGTGCTGATTTTTTTTATATAGTAGCTGACCATTCTATCTGAATATTGCAGACTGGGCCTAAACAGGTATGATATTGCACCATTTAGGTATTTTACATTAGCTTATATCTTCTTTCTAAAATGTTGTACCTTTTGAGGTTATAGTTGTTTAGTCATTCTTTTGTTTTTTAGATCCATGGGCATATGAAATAAAACACACTCGGATGAGTGGCCCATGTTGCATCTTAAGAATATTTATTCCCACTTACTCCAGGAGTGAACATCTCTGTGTGAGTAAGGTAGTTATCTGGATTTCATTTATTTCAAAATATTAATAATTTTTGGTTGATTGACAGTTATAGAGGTAATTTAATTTTATCTCTTTTTTCCCTACTATTTTAGGCCTACACTGTATTTGATCATTGTTGTTTTTTGGGTCAGTTGTATATAGTCTGAAATATATTGATGTTGAACTTATAGAGTACTCAGCTTGTATTTTACCACTGAGGAAGGCTTTTTAGACGAAACGCATTTGGTTCTTGTATTTGGATACATTTTGTACCTTTGAACCGATATTTATATATTCTGATATTTATCCTTGTGGCAGAACGGGCCTGCATCAGCCAGCAGAATTTCATTTATTTCAAAATATTAATAATTTTTGGTTGATTGACAGTTATAGAGGTAATTTAATTTTATCTCTTTTTTCCCTACTATTTTAGGCCTACACTGTATTTGATCATTGTTGTTTTTTAGGTCAATTATATATATGATGAAATATATTGATGTTGAACTTATAGAGTACTCAGCTTGTATTTTACCACTGAGGAAGGCTTTTTAGACGAAACGCATTTGGTTCTTGTATTTGGATACATTTTGTACCTTTGAACCGATATTTATATATTCTGATATTTATCCTTGTGGCAGAACGGGCCTGCATCAGCCAGCAGACCCCGCTCTGCCCACGCCTCCTTTGCCTGCCCTGAAGGGGCAGTTTTTCACCACTGCCTCTGGGTATTGGGCTCTGGTTAGGCGGGACAGCCTCTTAACCTCTCTCTGATGTCGGTAGGAACCCACTCGGGGCTTCCTGGCAATCTTTGGAGCTCCCCTGGAGAGGTGGCAACTGGCCGTTTTGCCCTTGTTCTCCTCCTCAGGGAGTCCCCAACCCACTCCTAGCGTGTCCAAGCGGCTGGGGGAACTATGCGGTACAGAGGGACTTCTCAATGTCAACAGTAAAAGGATTTATTTTGAAACCACTGAACTATATGCAGGCATATTAACAGTGAACTGAAGAATCAAAATAAAAGTGAATAATAAATCGCTCCATCTCTCCCTTCTCTACACATACCCTGTCTAGATGGTCTGCAGGGCAGGCACACGACTTGCTTTCACTGGAGGAGGTTAGATTAGCACCACTCCCAACATGGCCTCTGCCTCCTGCAGACTCCAGCCGACAGCCTGACTGGCTCCAGACTTCAGGAAGACCGACCTCAATTCTCATAGACGGCTTCCCGCCCAAAAGCTCCACTATATCCAGCAGCCCTTCCCGGCCAGGAAGTGGCTCTCCCCCCTGCAGCATTCTGGGGCAGATCTCCTCACAACCTTGATGGACTTCCTGTCCTCTCTAGGGAGCTGCCCTCAGACTACTGGTTGGAGACCAGGGGGGGGGGGATGAGGAGGAGACTAGGCCAAGGCCTACCTCAGGTTTGATGGTCCCCTCCTATCTGGCCCACATATAGGGTTGCCAAGTCGGGTGTTGCGCCGCAGCGGGGGACTCCCAGCTGGCGTCTGGAGCGCACACGCACCTCACTCGGAAGTGACGTGACGACGCCGGGCACGCCGAGGGAAAACCATAGAGTTTTCCCTCGGATGACCATGGCCCCCCCGGGGCCCGATCTGCCGCCGGCGGGGAACGGGCCTCTGGGGTGGGGGTTTCCCTGCCCCCCGGGGGGACTTGACAAGCCTAGGCCCACACCAACTTAAACATATACATAAAATGGCGTTTCTCCACAGTCCTGATATACAGAACCATAGATAAGTGATTTTTGTTGTGATTTTAATATTTCCTATCCATAATTAAAATATATTGTATATTTTTATATCAGCACTGTGTGTTTCGCCATATTTGGTTATTGTTTTTGACTCAACTCTGTCTTCAAGCCCTCCCCTGGATGTTGGTCATAGAAACCTGATCAGGGTATGGAGGTGTGGTGGGCTATGTGCCAGGTAACCTGACTGGAAGAGTTTGGGGTCTCTCCCACAAGGGACAAGATTCCTAACTCTGAATTGGGGGGAGGTTTCCATCAAAGTAGGCAGAAAGGCTTAAAAGGTGGAAACTTCGTTTGTTCTTGGTTCAAATACTTTGGCCAGATGCTGTGATCTATGCTGGGACCCAAACTACTCTGCAAAGTGAGCAGTAGGGAGTTTGGTGATGTGTTTGCTCTACCAAAGGTAACTGTCTTGTATTGCAACTTAGCTAGCCTTATGTTTTGTATTATTTTCCTTAGCCCTGTACTCACTAGGCATGCTAGCTATTTGACATGCATGTGCTCTAGTTTCATGTAAAGTTTCTTTCCTATTTAAGAAAGCAGACTGTGGTTCAAATCCTACCCACATGCCTAGACTGAGTGTATATGCGAAGAACATGCATGCATGGGGAGGGGACTAAAGTAATTGGAACGCTCTGCCCTTTGTACTTGCTCAGAGGCATCCTTAACAGAGTTCCCCGAAGCACTGCTCACATGGTAGGCTAGATTTTATAACTTGGGGTGGTGGCACAAAGAGAAATGTGCTTTTATATGCAGGCAAACACACAACATGCATGTGAGAACACACAGACCCAAGGTGTGTGTGTGACACGGTCCACCCCAGCTTTCTTAGGAGGGCTCATATGGGAGGACTCCAGGTCTTCATTTCAGACCCAGCTTAAAAACATCTTGGCATGTTTGGGCCAGAGTAAACCAAGAGACTCGTTTTGGATGTCTTATACAAACTAATAATAAAGAAAATAGTGCTCCTGAGCATGTATAGAATGCATGTCCTGAGAGAAAGAGTCACATTCAGGGGGGATGTCTTCCAGGCAGCTCTAATCCCTGGCACTTTGTAGAAATGAAGGCGCAGCGGCCATAGCAAAGACTACCCTGAAATATTACGAAACGGGCCTCGTTTCATAACACAAGATTGTCCAATCAAAAGGGCTGAATTAATTCCAGCAGTGCTTTGGCAAACAACATCCCTCCCTCCTTTGGAAAGTGAACTTTCCATAAAGTCTTTCTCCACCCACTTCTGGCCAGAGCTAGTTAGGGAGAGAGGCACTTATACTTCAGCACCCATACCGGAGCTAGCTGCAAAGCCATCCAGGCAGCCGACCAATCCAAGGTAAGTGGGAAGCAGAAGAGCTGGGGATGAAGGTTGCCCGCTTGGGAACCGAGCTCTGTAGCTGTGCCTTGAACTGCAAGACTGGGCACCCAGTGAGCACCCCTTAGTTGTCTGCAGTGAAAAGCTGCACTGGCTGATTTCTGCATAAAGGAGCAGAAGTGGATGGGTTTGGTGCTGTTTTGTTCTTCTAGCCAGTTGGCAGTCCTAGGACTAATGAGAAGGCAGGCGTGACTCCCAAGTGCTCCGGGAAGGCCGGAGGGAGGGAGGGGAGAGCAGCCGACCAATCCAAGGTAAGTGGGAAGCTGGGGATGTAGGTTGCCCGCTTGGGAACTGAGCTCTGTAGCTGTGCCTTTAACTGCAAGACTGGGCAGGAGTGAGCACGCTTAGTTGTCTGCAGTGAAAAGCTGCACTGGCTGATTTCTGCATAAAGGAGCAGAAGTGGATGGGTTTGGTGCTGTTTTGTTCTTCTAGCCAGTTGGCAGTCCTAGGACTAATGAGAAGGCAGGCGTGACTCCCAAGTGCTCCAGGAAGGCCGGAGGGAGGGAGGGGAGAGGAA